AGGGGAAAGGTCTGGCGCAGGTGCCGCTTCCAAACACCGACCCCCTCCTCTAGTGGCACTGTGCCAATGCGGGGAGCCAGCCCTAATCCCCAGGGAGATCCTCACCTGCTCCCTAGGAGAGCCTGGCTCTGCCCTCCTTGCCCCTGGTCCCGTCCCTCCCCCCCCCCCCCCCCGGACGGGCAAAGTACTCAGAGCCTGGGAACATTTAGAGACCCTGCAAGCTGGGGGCATTCTCAGCGTCCTCCTTGCTCATAGATTCCCCCGGGCCAGAAGGGACCATTGTGATCATCTCCTCTGACCCCCTTGTATTAATTCTAATGAACAATGCCACATTATGCAGTATTCATTTTTGAAAGTTTATAATAAGCAATGCTTCGGGGGGGAGGGGAGGGGAAGGGGAAGCGCAAGGTGAAAGTTTTGCCTCGGACGCAAAATATCCTTGCACCGGGATGAAACAGACTCGGGGCTTGTCTTCACATACAGCACTAGAGCGGTGCAGTTGCATCGACGCAGCTGAGCTGAAGTGCTTTAGTGAAGATGCTACTATGCTGATGGGCGAGTTTCTTCCATCAGCATAGTGGAAGAATCCACCTCCTTGAGAGGTGATAGCTGTGTAGGTGGGAGAAACACTCCCATTGACATAGCGCTGTCTACACAGCTGGTAAAACTACGTTGCTCAGGGGAGTGGATTTTTCACATCTCTGAGTGACAGTTATACCGATATAGCTCTGTAATGTAACCCTGGCCTTAGAGTTAATATTTCAATCACTGAATTCCCTTTGGGTGGTGCGAATGGCATGAATCCACAGACTCTTTCATTTCCCCAAAACTTCTCTTTCTAGTTTAAACCTCATTATTGCTCTGCTCTTACCATAATTTAAAACCCTTGGTCTGTTAAGCTTTAAATAAAAAAAAATAAAAAAAAGGCAACCAAAAAACCTAGCTTCTAATTTCTTAACTTTTTTCTTTTCACAATACAGTATCTTTCCCCAGCTCCTTGCAACATGAATTAAGGTAGTTTTCTAGATTTGAATGGGAATATTGTACATACTCTGAAGTGACAGTCACAGAAGACAAGGTGTAGAATAAAACACACACACACACACACACACACACGAAACATGGTTACATGGAGAGGATTTCTTGTCCCTCTTAACAGCTCCTTACTCTTGTCCATATCAAACTGATTTCCCCATGGATAGGTGGTTCACTTGATGGACTGTGCTGCTGGCCCACTGGCAAACCCGAGCCCAAATCTATGTTCTTGTGCTGGTGGTCAGCATCATCTGTGGCCATGTTTACTTGTCTTGCAGTTCCACATGCCCACAGCCAGCAAAGCTGATGAGTTCATCAGAACCTTTTGGAAAGCAGAGTTGGAATCAAAGTTGGATTTTCTACTGCTAAATTAACTGAACCTGCATTGAGCTGTGCAATGGGTTGGAGGGGGAAAAACGGACAAATGTCACTGTGGCCAAATCTAATCAAAAACATAACTATGTAAAATTATCATCAGGGTTAAAATAATTATCAGGTAGATCCCATCCTGGGGCCCTCTGAAAAGTTAAATTCCAGCCTTTTTAAGTATCTTCACTCCTTTAAGGCTGTGCACCTCCTGCTGTTCAAAGCCATCACATCACTCTAACAGAGTAAGCTTACAAGTGCAACAACACTTAGAAAAAAGTAGCGATAGCAATTACACACCTGCTGAATCCTTGCTACATATAGCACCGAAATGACAGAGGAACACAAAACTTCCAAAGAACATGTAGTTCTGGTGCCACCTACTGACAAACCATTCAAAATGTCTCACGATAACTCATAGAAACATAAAAAGAACAGGAGTACTTGTGGCACCTTAGAGACTAACAAATTTATTAGAGCATAAGCTTTCGTGGACTACAGCCCACTTCTTCGGATGAAGTAGGCTGTAGTTCACGAAAGCTTATGCTCTAATAAATTTGTTAGTCTCTAAGGTGCCACAAGTACTCCTGTTCTTTTTGCGGATACAGACTAACACGGCTGCTACTCTGAAACCTGTCATGGAAACATGTCAGTTAATTTGAGTTCTAAAAGGTATTTTAGGTTATATTTTGTGTCATTTGATTTGGAAATCTCCCATCCATATACTGTTAGGCCTGAAATCAGATGAGATAACCAAATGTAATATTGTTACAACCATCTTCATTGAACATTGTTGAGCCATAATAGTTTAAAGAATAAAACCCACTCATGACAAAAGGAAAAGGGAGAAAAAAAAAACATGGCAAATCCTGCCTGAAGCCGCCCCACTTCGTTCCCTTTCTAACATTTAAGTGTTGAAATAATAGATTCACAGGGCTTGAAGGGACATCAACAGGTCAATTTGTAGGGTGACCAGATGTCCCGATTTTATAAAGACAGTCCCAATATTTGGGGCTTTGTCTTATATAGGCACTTATTACCACCACCATCACCGCCGCCCCCTCCACACACACTCACACACATCCTGTCCCAATTTTTCACACTTGCTATCTGGTCACCCTATCAATTCCTCCTTGCACTGAGGTAGGACCAAGAAAACCTAGACCATCCCTGACAGGTGTTTGTCCATCCTGTTGTTGAAAACCTTCAGTGATGGGGATTCCACAACCTCCCTTGGAAACCTATTCCAGAACTTAACTATCCTAATAGTTAGAAAGTTTCTCCTAATATCTAACCTAAATCTAGCTTGCTGCAGATTAAACCAATTACTTCTTATCCTATTTTCAGTAGATGTGGAAAACAATTGATTGACATCCTTTTTATAACTGCCTTCATCATATTTGAAGACTGTTCACAGGTCTCCCCTCAGCCTTCTTTTCTCAAGACTAAACGGGTTGAGTTTTTTTTAAACCTTTGCATAGGTCAGGTTTTCTAAACCTTTTATCATTTTGGTTGCTCTCCTCTGGACTGTCTCCAATTTATCCTAAAGTGTGACACCCAAAATTGGACACTATACTCCAGCTGAGCCCTCCCCAGTGCAGCGCAGAGTGGGACAATTACCTCCCATACCTTACATACTGACTCATTTTAATACTCATCAGAATAATATCCTTTTTTGCAACTGCATCACATTTTTAACTGATATTCAGTTTGTGATCCGCTATAACCCCCAGCTCCTTTAAAGCAGTATTACTACTTAGCTCGTTATTCCTCATTTTTTTAGTTGTGCCTTTGATTTTTTTCTCTCCTAAGTGTAGCACTTTACACCTGTCTTTAATGAATTTCATTTTGTTGATTTCAAACAAATTCTCCAATTTGTCAAGGTCATTTTTAAATTCTAATCCTATCCTCCAAAGTGCTTGCAACCCTTCTCAGCTTGGTGTCACGTGCACATTTTATAAACACGTTCTCTACTTCATTATCCAAGTAATTAATGAAAATAGTGTTAGAACCCAATGGATACATCCCCATAGTTTGATAGTAAACCCTTAATAACTACTCTGAGTACAGTCTTTCAACCAGTTGTGCACTCACTTTATAGTAATTTAATTTAGACCACATTTCTCTAGTTTGTTTATGAGAATGTCATGTGGGACTGCATCAAAAGTCTTATTGAAATCAAGATACAATGTGTCTACTGCTTCCCTCCTCCCCGCCCCTCCCCAACCCCTCACTAGGCCAGTATCCCATCAAAGAAGGAAATTAGGTTGGTTTGGCATGATTTGTTGTCCAGCTGTACCGAAAGGACAGGCAACACTTGATATGGATTTAATCAGGCGGCAGCTTTATTATTAGATGTCTGGGACTACCTGGCAGATAAAAGTGTACAGTGTAGGCAGTGTCATGTTCATTTAAATAACTACCCAGGGCTTCCACCAGTCCCCCTCCCTTTTATTTTCCATCCAGGTCCCCCAGCCAACCTATGGCTTGGACCTTACCATCCACCCACCTCGTAGGAGGATTAAGGTGGGCTACAAGAAAGGTGGCATTGGTTGGCTCCCTGCCATACCAGTCACAGGAGCCCTGAACCTCTCCTTCCCCCCCCCCCATTCCTTTAAGGAGCACCTCCTTTTTAAGTCCTTTACCAGGCCATTTTTCCAGTCACTGGCTGCCTTCCCTATGGAGTAGCTGCACTGGACATCTGCCCCACACTTACAAAATGAGTTGCGACGTATGGCCTAACTCCCATTCCTCCTCACCATCATAGGTCCTCCCTGAAACCCCCACTTCACCTAAGCCAATATGGTGGTGAGGGAAAAATTCCCTTCCAGCCCCACTAAAAAGGAGCGACTAGCGCAATGCCCACAGCAGGGGCTAACTAAACCTGATATTCACCACCTCAAAGGAAGGGAGAGTGGGTGCTGTCTTCCTTGTTGTCTGGAGAAAGGTCTTCTAACACCCAGACTTACAACTTTTAAAACCTTCTGCCCTTATATTCCCAGGGGATGAGCCAAGCTGACTCCCACCCATCTCTCCTTCTGGAGCAGGTAGCTGAGTCCAGGGAGTTCTGGCACTTCCAAAATCTGCATTAAAATTGGTAAAAAAAAACAAATAATGGCTTTTTTTTAAAACCCAGGGATTTTTCCATAAAAACTAGTTAAAACTGAAAACAAAGGGCCTTAAATATAGTGCAACAGTCCAGTGTGCCAAAGAGCATGAGGATATGGCACACAGAAGGTCATGGAGAAACTGCGAAAGGAAAGGGCTGTGGTAAGCATGACGAATGTTGGACTCATAATAGGAAACACAGGAAGTGAACAGGCCACATATCCTTGGGCAGCATGCTGAGTAGGTTCTATTCCTTGCATGCGTGTGCCTTTCTATCTGGCATTTATTATGCAGGATCAGGCCTGTAGTTATTTTATTTATTAATCCCATAGTTATCTAAAATTATAAAATATGTAATAGTATTTTGATATGCAGTTAACGTCAGGTTCATAATGCTCAGTTTTTTGCATGCTAGAAAAAACAAATTCCAGAAGTCAGTGAGACAAAGGCAACTGCTATTCAACAGTGATAAAAGATAAGTAGTCATAAAATAGTAGTCACAGTTGATTTATTTCTCAATATGCGATAATAATGAAATAGGCTGCTGTATATTTACTAAACAAAGCACAATTATAACAGGAAACAACACATCGGTTATTGTTTAGGTGGATGATGTTTCAGATGTTATTCTGAAATAACAATATCTAGTGTGGTTATGGTGGGTCCTTCTCATACCACCTCCCAAAAAGCGTCACTGTTAAAATTGGTTTAGATGTACCATTCTGACTGATCAAACGTCCATCACTTAATACCTAGTTGAAGAAGAGGATAATAAAATTACACCATTAACAAAGCAGCAATATTACATGGTGCACAAGTGACATGCATTTATAAGGTAAATGTTAAATAGTTTGAAGAAACAGTTTAATTAAGTAAAGTCTTGGAACCATAACATACAAAGCTAAATTGCTTTCTGAGGTCAATTGCTAAACCGAAAGGGCACCCAATACATGTCCCCCCTCTCCCCCCCCCATTATTGAAAAGTTTGTCTTAGCTTTGTTTTGACTTTGTTGCAATATTTTGTTACTTTCCCCTATGAGCCCCCTGAGAAGCTACTTTGAAGCAGCTCAAAGACATTCTCCTACCTGAAATTCGCCAGGCGCCAGCTGAACCTCACTGAGCAAGACTTCTGGGAAGACGTAACTAGTGCCAAATGTACCACTGAGAGAGAATGCTTCAAACCTGGTGTGAGCAGTAGCCACTGGCTCCCCACAGGTTTTCAAGTCTGTGCTTTTACACTTCAGTAGCGTGCATATCTATGGGAAAGAAAAAAGGAACACATTTAGGAGAATCATTTTACTAATGATAAAATTTGACTTTATTTTCCTCAAGACCAGATGGTACCAATTCAGCTCAATTCTTATGCCAACGATGCACTAAGTTAGTACATCAGAAACAACTTTTTGGATCAAAGAGTTTCCAACTCTCCAGCTCCTCTCCCCAGTATGGCTCTCCATACTGCTCTCCGCTCCCTCAAGTACTGCATACAAAGGCAGCGGTTTCTCTCTACCAGCTGGGTTTGGCCTTGTAGCCTTTCCAGATCCACCCACTCACTGGAAACCTCTGCTCCTACTTGACACTTTGTCCCCCTTCCTTTGTCCTATTCCACCCTAGACTGTTCCAGTTTTCTAGACCTTAGGCACTGACTCTGCTCCGGGGCTGGAGCACCCATGGAAAAAAATAGTGGGTGCTTCGTACCCACCAGTCACAGCTGTTTGGTGGCTGGGAGATGGGCTTGGGGAGGGTGGAGAGCAGTGGGCAGGGAAGGGTCCGGGGAGGGGGCAGAGCAGAGGTGGGAACAGGCAGAGTAAGGGCGGGACCTATGGGGAGGGGACAGAGCAAGGGCAGGGCCTCGGGAGAGGAGGGCAAAGCGGGGGCAGGAAGAGGCAGAGTGAGGGCCAGACCTCGGGGAAAGGGGCGGAGTGGGGGCCGGACCTCGGGGAAGAGGGAAGGTGGAGCACCCCAGGGAAAACTAAAAGTCAGCACCTTTGGCCTGGACCCTTTTTTATGCTCTCCCTAAGAGCCACCTCTAGAGTTTCCACTTGTTCTTCCCACTCCTCCATCGAAAAGTTGACTTTTTACCAATAAAACTAAGACAAGTTCTTTGATGGAAAGCTCAGGCAATCTTATACACATTATTAGCAACAAAATCACTTAGTGGCCTGGCTGGTGGTCTATCAGAAGTTAATTTGGATGTCTCCATCCAATCCTTGGTGGATAGGTGTCTACATAATAAAGCCAGCACCTCAGAAGAGATGCCAAGGTTGGAATAGGTACAGAGACTGACTTAGCCTTTTATTCCCAGAGACAATCCCTCCAGGTTGGGGTTGATGTGTATCAGAGGGTAACGTGAGGCAGCATAAACTGCTGTAGCTTGTTTTATGGAGAAATAAAAGACTTGGTCCACAGCACTGGACATTCGGCAAGAACTAAAATAATTTTATCAGTGGACCAAACATCAAAGTGACTTTTTGAAAATGTATCAAAGGAGATATAGGGTGGCTAAAACATCAAGACACATAATGGGATTATCATCTGTGACAACTGGTAAGGAAAGTGGTTGGTGATAGGTAGACTAAAGTAAATCTAAAAAGGACCTGTCAGTAATTAGCCAATGCAATAGATTTGCTCAAAAAACAAAGGATGGCCCGTATTATGTAATGTGACTAAACAAATTAATATTTCCAGCAAGATAGCATTTAATGGTCAATCACAGTCTTTCCCAAATGTTTGGTTAACAGAGCAAAACCTTGGACATTTCCAATAAAACTTTATGCTTTACATATACTTCATTGACATGACATGGCAAATAAGAAAAAACTCAATCTTTGTGAATTCAACTGAGTAAAATGTCTTGTACATTTGAATGCAATCAACTGATATTTTAAAAATAATCATCAGATAAAGATCAACTCTGATGAAAGAGACAGAAAAAGATTGTTGCGTTCTAATTTTCAAAGTCTCTAACAGCATCTCAAAGACATCTTTCTGCTACTTACCATCCTGAAGTCTGTCTCTAAGACAACATAGTGAACAATGCAAATGGTGAAGTGAATGGGGGGCGGGGGAGGGAAGAGAGAGAAAGGGGTGGAGAATATAAAGATCCATTATATTGTGGAATAATTTATTACCATACAAGATCAATTCCCTCTTGTCACATGAACTCTGAGTTTGTACCCAGGGCCATTCCAAGACTTGCTACTTTTGGCATGAAGGGCAAGCAGACTCATTAGAAATTACAGGATCAACTCATCACTAGCAACCAAAGGGCTATGCAGGGGAACATGAGAAAACACCATTGTCCCTTTTTTCCTCCCAGGAACCAAAAGCATCTCCCATGCAAAGATGTCTCATAAACATATATATGAAGTATTCCACATGTCCCCAAAAATAAGCTTTACCTGTAAATAGTATTCTCCTTCAACAACATGAAGGCCATCAAAAGCACCCAGCACATAAACTTCATCTTCTTGCTTCTCCACCATCCTGTAGCTCAAATGACAGCAAAGATCTTTCTGGCAAACTGTATGATTTCCTTCAGGCTTAGTGAGTTCAGTGAAGGTGAAGTTATCAAAGAAAATGACTCCACTGAAATTACGGTCATCTGGTGAGAATCGTTTGACACTTGTGGCATACGCGCTCCAGTTAACAGTAGAAGGGTAGGTGGGAGAAAGACGAGGTTGTGAACGCAGTTCCGCAACCAAGAGGTGACCGTTCTCTGTTTCCATATTGTAATGATATGCCCTGGGTCCTTCAGGTGCATAGATACCACTCCCTGTGAGTGACAGACAGAATTTTCAGTCCAAAAGAATCAGCTATTTGAATGATATTGTCCTTTTCATTTTTCCCAATGCTGTTTTGTTCTATTATGATGTTTAGAACATTACCAAAAATTAACCTCCCAAATTAAACCTTTAAGAACTCAAGTCTTTTCTTACAATTCCGAGAGAAGGGACAGGGTGCATTAGGGTGACCAGATAGCAAGTGTGAAAAATTGGGACAGGGTTAATAGGTGCCTATACAAGACAAAGCCCCAATATTGGGATTGTCCCTATAAAATTGGGACATCTGGTCATCCTAGGGTGCATGGTTTTCTTATTGAGGGAGGGGGCCAGATTCTCCACTGTGGCTGAGATCTCCTCAGCACAACAGAAGGGGGATGGGCATGGCAACATGGAATGCTGTCTGGCTCTCTGATTCTCTGCTCAGCTTGACCCCACTGCAGAACAAAGCAGTTTGAGGGCTGCTCTGACCTATGCTAGATGACAACAGACCCAAAAGGGCCAACCACCGGCCTAGAACAGCCAGAGCCCAAAGCACTCACCCTGCAGCCCTACCCCAGGGCTGGCAGGGGGATGGCATAGGAGCTGGCTATGCTGGCTTTACCCCAGTTGAGAACTCCACATTAGGGGAATCTGGCTGACCAGATAAAGCCAAATCCAGGAGAGAAACTGGACCATTTATTAGAGTATTGGATTCCATGCCACACCTATATACTTTCCTGAAGCTCTTCACCTCTGCCAATCAGAATGGATCATGAGGGACAAAATATCAGATGTTCTCAGCATGACACTCCAGTCAGCACTATGTAAGAGTTTCTATGCAAGGGATGAATCCTATGACAGGCATCCCATATTCATTCATTCATAGAATTTAAGACCAGAAGGCACTATTATTATCACCATCTAGTCTGAGGTCCTTCAAAGCATAGGCCTTAGGACTTCCATTCTTTAATTCCTGCTTCAAGTCCATCAGCTGGGGATGAAGAAGAGCATATCTTCTTGAAATCATCCAATCTTGATTTAAAGATTTCCAGTGATGGAGAATCCATCAGAATCCTTGGTAAATTGTTCCAATGGTTAATCACCCTCATGGTTAAAAAATTGTCCTCGTTCCTAGCCTGAATTTGTCAAGCTTCAACTTCCACCCATTGGATCTGGTTACCTTTATCTGCTAGATTGATAAGCCCTCATATCACAGATGAGGGCGAGACTGGGAGACATCCCTTCTATTTCAGACAATGTGAATATGATCAGTGACCCAACCCTGAAATCGTGCAAGCATGAGATCTAATAGGTTTCAAAATGTAAACGTGGCCCTTGGCTAAAAGATCATATTCCATCTGCTTAGTTCTCAGTAAACACAAAGTCACATTGTTTTAAAAGAAGTGGGTGAAGAACAGTGCTCCTGTGACAGCCCTGACAACTTGGTTTGAAGGGTCTGAACATTACTGAATGGTGCTACAAACCTAGTCTTGCATTTGGTTAGTATAAATGGAATCTTGCATGCTGGTTTTCATTTATTACCCAGTGTTACGACTGTATTTTATAGTAATCCAGAATGAGTCTTGTTCTTTAGCTGTTGAAAACTTTGTATGAACTAGCTGAACTAGAGAGCATTTGAGGGTGACGTATTGAGAAAGGAGATTGAAGAGGACTGTTTATCAGCAAAAAGCAAGATTTAATAGTTCAAGGAAGCCAAGCAAAGAAGCTGCAAGATTTTGTTCATGCATAGCAAGTCAGTAAAAAGAACTAAGGAAGTTCCTGAGAAGCTAGGAAGGAGAGAAGAAAAAAAAAAAACACAGTGAGTTTTGCTGTGCCCTCATTTGGCATCAGGAATATTGAGGCTAGGAATAAGGCTACCACAGGGGTTTTTGGCTTCAGAAGAAATACATTGTGCAGCATAAAACAATCTCAAAGAAGAGATAGAGACTAAAGATCCAGTATTACAAAGATAATTTACCTTACCCCAAACAGCAAATTACCTGTCATAGCCAGGCTGGTGTTGTGTGTATCAGCCGCAAGGAAATTGACACCCATCCCCATAGCCCAGGCAGAGTGGAATTCAATAGCAGTCAAATGTGGTAGGACATTCATCCAAGCAGTGGGAAACAGCACAGTATCCACATGTAATTTGCTCACCAGAGTCACAGCTGGGTCATGAAAAAGTATGTCAAAGCAAGTGAAAATGCCAAACTTTCCAAAGGATGTGTTGAAAGTGACAATCTCTGGCTCCTTGGGCGAATCAAACTGAGTTTCTGACATAAAGAGATTATACTGACAAAACAAACCATAGGGGAAAAAACTGTTAAAAGGCACCTAATGCAATAGCCTGGAAACATTTTATAAAACTGCTAAAGGCAACCTGCATTATTTAAAAAAAAAAAAATCTAAAAGCCTTCATATTGAACATGTAAAAGTACATCTACACTGCAACAAAAAAACCATGGCACCAAGTCTCAAAGGCTGGGTCAGCTGGCTTGGGGTCACGGAGTTTGGGCTGTGGGACAAAAATGGCAGCATAGACATTTGAGCCTGGGCCTGAAACCCCACAAGGGGGTGGATCTCTGAGCCTGATCTGAATGTCTGCAATTTTTGGCCTCACAGCCCGAGTCCGAGTCAGCTGGTTTGGTCCAGCCCTGCGGCCGTGATGCAGGTCTTTTATTGCAGTGTAAACATACCCCAAGTTTCCAAGTCCATCCCAATAACTGGTTGAGTGAAGCCTGATCTAACATTCTACTCAACGGTATTTCTCCGTCTGTTATGCGATAACTTTTGAACACCACACTAGATCCACTCCAAAATTTCAGGGGATGTTCTAAGCATCAGTGGTCAGAACCCTATTGATTTTGCTAAAAATCAGGAAAGCCAGAAGGGGGGTAAAGGGAGATATAGGGTTAGTAAAGCTAGCAGCTTTAACCACGTTTGCAATTGTTTGTAAATCAAAGAACTGGTTGATGACAGCCATTAACACCTTCCAGACTAGCAGCACTCTTCTGCCCCCATCCCATTTCAACTAATCCTCCCAATGCAGTTTAAAAATGAAGTAAAGTTTTTTTACCCACGAAAGTTTATGCCCAAATAAATCTGTTAGTTTTTAAGGTGCCACCGGACTCCTTGTTGTTTTTGTGGATATAGACTAACATGGCTACCCCCTGATATTTAAAAATGTTGACACCTTGCGAGATTTTCCTCCCAAACTGACAGAAAAGAACAGTGTCATGTTATTTCTTACCTTATGGTAGCGTGCCACCAATTTCCCTTCTGAGTCAAAGACAACATTAGTATTGTATTGGTAGTGTCCATTGCTGGGGCACTTGGGATCACTGCAATTACATGGCTTCTTGTCTCCAATATTGGCAACCACATAGATAGAGTTGTTTCTTGCCATGCAGCTGAGCCTTTCCTGCACTGCCGCCGGAGCAAATCTAGTTCATTTTTGGCAAAAGGAAAATACACAAAACAAAAAATAGACCAGATCAAACTAAATTCAAAGCTGAAAAAAATGAGAAAATAGACTTCAAAGTTATTTTAATGGAACACTGGCGTTTAGAGCAGCAGCTGTTACGGAGCAGCTGAGTACTAGGAGGCCTTTCGACAGATATTGCTTATTTTTTAATTCTGCAATTGGAGCTGTGCAGGTATGCTATCAGAATTCAGGACAGCTCCTTGACCTCAGTGGACTTCTGCAGGGGTGGAAGGGTCTGCCCTCAACAATCCTATAACAGGATTGAGGCCTTAGAATGTCAGCTGCGTGGAACATGGTGTGCATCTCCCTAGGTATTTGTACAGATGGGGGCTATTACTGTACAGCTGAATGTAGCATGGATTTTTCAGGTCAATTTGAAACAAAATCAATTTTTTCCTAAATTTGTCATCAAATTGAAAAAACTAAAACCAGTTTTCAAATATTTTATGTTTTTGATTCATTTTGAGTGGACTCAAAATTTTTAGTTTTATATTTTGATTCAGACATGTTGGGGTGTTTTCATCGTGTATGCATGTATGTGTGTGTGTGCGCTTTAAATTGGCCAAATTTTAATTTATTTTGAAATGAAAAGTAGGAATGAAGCATTTTGACTTTATCAAAAAACGTTTTGTTTTTCTTAGCTGTAACTATTTGTCAAGTTTGTGAATAGTTTCAGAGTACCAAAAAATGCATTTTTCAATGAAAAATCTACTTGTTGAAAAAATTCCTCTCAACTTTGTATTACAGTATAAATATTTAACACTAAGAAATGCATTTTGAATCCCTCTCCTTGACGTGCTTTTTGTTTAATGGGAAGGAATGGAGGAACAGGGCCTGCTTTATTTATTCTTCGTGGCTCTCCCAGATAGTGCGTCTCTCTTCACATGTATAATCATAGGCTGGTTTTTACACTGATCTTCAAAACATCAGCAGCAAACTTTACCTGTCACTATAAATATAATGCATTATAAAAAAAACAATTAAAACTATAGCCAGGATGATGGCTCATGGGGCAGAGTTCAAGTGTGTCCAAAATATACTTCATCTCAAACTACTAAAATTGGTTCATCTGTCCCTTTAAATGAAAAAGAATGGAGAGAGACTTCTGTGGTGCTACTTACTAGCAAATTGTTAAACACACACAACATTTTCCCTTTAGAAATTCATGGAAATGTTCAATGTCTTGCATCTGAAGAAGTGAGGTTCTTACCCACGAAAGCTTATGCTCCCAGTACTTCTGTTAGTCTCAAAGGTGCCACAGGACCCTCTGTTGCTTTTTACAGATTCAGACTAACACGGCTACCCCTCTGATACTTGACGCAAATGCTCTGAGAATTCCTCATGAATCTTGGGACACATGCAGGATTGAAATATCAAACCCCTTGCCCCTTCAGCAGGCTGACAACAGACTTGAGAGTTCAATATCTGGGAACACGATGATCTATTACTTGGTGTCATTCCAGAGCCTAGGGGATGGCAGAATCCCATATAACCCTCATCTTTAAAAGTCTCGTCTTTCACGCAATGAGGACAGAAATGCATGTAAAATTATACACAAGGGCTATACGGCTCTATAAGGAGCCTATATTTTACAAATTGGATTTAAGTGAGATCCTATGTAAACTAATACAAACGTTAATCCTTTCACAAATATTCTAATCCATTTAGAGGCATGGCTTACATACCAAAAGGCATACTGTCTGCTCCTACAAACAAAAAAATTAGTTAAAAACCAATTAAAGATGGTTAAGCCCAATACCAGCCATGCAAAACCTTGGAAGCAATGAAAGCTCCAGTTAAGGTGTATTTAATATACTATACCCCCCCACCACACAGACAGCACATTCACTGGTACTGTCAATCAGCTGCCAGGGGTACAATCATACCCGACCCCGGCAACGTACGTGGGGGCTAGTATGAGCCACTGCCCATGCCACTGAGGCCACTCTGCTACTTTTAGATCATGAGCTCAAGCCGAGCTTTTGTACATACCTCTAAAGCTCTTCATAGCTTCCCTCCCCCCCAAGCTCCCTATCTGCACTTGTATCTTATGTTATTCCTTTGCCTCTTCTGTTCCACCAACAATGCCAATTTTGATAACCCAGGTTATCTACTTCTCCTACGAGCATTTTTCCATGCTGCCTCTAATGCCTAGTACCTTGGCTGAACTAGTTTGTAACGCCACTACCCTGTCTTCCTTGAAATCCCTCTTCAAGACCCTCTTCTACCAGAGTAAAGTGCCAAGAATACCTTTATAAATAAACAAACCCTGAAAATTGTACCTGCAGTTTGCCTATGCAGCCCTGTGTTCCCATCACAGTTACAGTTATCCTTCCCCTCCTCCATTCCCTCAGCCTGTTACACACTTGTGCCTTGTCTTAACTTAGGGTGAAAAACCTGTTTGGGGCAGGGACAAGCTCTTACTAGGGGCCCTAATCTGATTGGTGCCTCTAGGTGCTATAAGTAATAATAAAGCTATCAACTCAACTTCCTGCAGCACTCTGATGTTCTTTAGACATCTCCCATCCAGCTACTCCCCACACCGCATCTCCATCATGTGGTAATCTCAGATAAACTCACATATAAATTGTGTTTGGAAAAATATACAAAAAGGAGATTAGAATGGGAATTGGCAAATTCTAGCAGCAGAATCTTCTCCAAACATAATAATGTTGTTATCTCATAACCTTTCACCCAGAGTTGTGCATTGCTGCTCAACTAAGGAGTTCATCTTGATAACTACCTGCATAGGTGCTGACTCTGTGGGTGTTCCATAGAAAAAAAATGGTGGGTGAAGCCCCCCATGATCAGCTCCTCCCTCAGCACCTCTTGCCAGCTGGCAGGCCCCACCAATCAGCTGCTTCCCACTCCCCGCCAGCGATCAGCTGTTCAGCGGCATGGAGGAAACACTGGGGGAGGGAGAGGATGAGGGCAGGGTGCACTCAGGGGAGGGGCAGAATAGGGCAGGAATTGGTGGGGTGATGGTGGAGCGGGGAAGGAAGAGGCGGAGTGGGGGGCTAGGGAAAGGGGTGGAGTGGGGGTGGGGTCTGGGGCAGAGCGGGGGTCGAGCACCTTGGGCAACTCAGAAAGATGGTGCCTTTGACTGCCTGGTTGATAAAGTGCTTATCATTAGCTGAATTGCCTGTTCAGTTAGTCAGGACATTTTAGACATTAGGTTATTTAACTGTTGTGTACAATAATGTTGGAGTCAAATTTAAAAGACCTCTCAAGTCTTTTGCATTTCTCATTAATCCACTCCTCTTCAGACCATTAACACAGTATTTTAAAGCTATTTGGAAGACACTGCATAAGGGATACCTTTCAGGGTCAGTGCATGGAATCCAGTTCACCTGTGGATCTGGGATGTCTTCAAGATAGGGGAAAATGGTGTCTCTTTTGAAGACCCAGCCGTAAATGCCATCTTCAGGAGTCACAATGATGTGTGCACCCTGAAACAACAGCTAAATTAAGCGCTTGCCACCAGGAACAGAACAAATAACTACGAAAATCAAGAGTCAATACCTGTTGGGCTGCTGCTTTGATGGCCCCTTCCAAAACATCCAAATTTTTGTTCATTAGTGTCAAAGCATCCTCAGATGAAACAGGACTCCCAGTGACTTCTGGCAATATAACAGCGTGCTCATACACGGCTGCAATGTAGCTGTCCAAGGCAAAGACCTGAAGGATTGAGAGTATAAAAACCGTAGCATATATGTAAGGCTGGAACATGATCATTGCTGAAGCTCAGTGGTAAATGGAAAACAGAGCAAGTTTCTGAAGGATAAAGGAGAAAAGAAGACAGGTGGCAAAGTCCAGCTTTCTTCTTAGTTTACTTTGGCAACAATTCTCTGTGAAATTATCTGGGAAAACACAGCATTGTGCAATAAGATTACCAAGGCTAAAGAAACATATTGCAACAACAAACCATCTACACAGCTAAACAGGGAAGTGATATTCACTGAATCACTGACATGAGAATAACTGTGCCAAAGGAACACACTAAATGACATCTGTCTAGAAACAGTGGCCCAAATTTTGCTTTGCTATAACTTGCAATTCCACTGACTTCAGTAGACTTGTGCAGAGTAGAATTTGTACCAAGTTTGTACTTTGGGTCCAGTCCAACTCTCACTAAGCCTGATACTAGACAAACATGAGCAATTCACACAGGTAGTAGTTTGAATTGTATATTGTCTTGTCTTTTGTAGCAGCTGCCCTCAGAATAATCATTAACACACAATTTTGTAAAGTGACAAGGAAGGCCACAGAATGTATCTCAGAACTGATCCAAGAACACAGAGCTGTCAGGAGCCCAAATTAACCTAGAGTAGGCCAAAATCTGAACAATAATTTATGCTGCTCTTTTAAACATAGCTGGGGAACTTAAATACATCTTGAACTAAATCCAGCTCACCTCGCTCACATGAGTAGTCCCAGTCTCAGTGAGCAAAATGAAGACAGTTTGTCCTCTTTAGTTTTGTTTACACTAGGGCAGCTAAACCTACAGGGAATGACTGCAAAGACCAAAGTTCAGCCTCTACTTTGGCTAGAGCGGGTCAACAAATTTTCTGGCAAATAGTTTTCCTTTGGAAAATGCTATTTCAACAAAATCCCACTGGAATATGTTGATTCCACTGAAACTAGCAACAAAATCAGTCAGGCAAACTGACTGACTAGCTTGCCCTGCCTGGTTCCTTGATAGCCTACCTGCCAGCTGGCCAGGCGTCTAGCAGGCTGCTCAATTCCCAGGATCCCACTTTAACGGGTTGTCTGGGTGGCGAACTCCCTGGCTGTTTTTCTCCCTTCCCAGAATTTTTTTTAAAAAAAAGCTGTTCTGTGCAGAAATTTTCATTTCCAACTTCTTGTTCCAATTCAAAATAATTATTTTTTAGCAATGTGACCTTTCCCATGGAATTAAATAGCCAGTTCCTGCTCATATCCAATATTGGAAGGAAGGGTTCTGGACTGCAGGGAACAGAACCGACTGCCTGGCTGAAGCTTACAGCAGACTCTCATTGCTGTGTCATGCCATGTTTAATTTATAATCATTTTTGTTGTTAAATATAAGCTCTCCGTACCTTATTAAGAACACTACAAAACCAGCATCGAACATGGTTTTAAAGCAGTGTTGAGCACAGTTTGTCTTTGGCTGTGCTTAGTTAAAATGTTCAGCACTAATTTAGATACACTATTGCTAACAAGAGGTCTAGAGAAGGATGTCAGCTGTTCAGTTTTTGGCAGCAGATATGATCCTTTAAAAAGGAAGCAAAAAGGAAGCAACTAATATTTCATGACGTTTTTGGTAACTTGGAAGCCTCCCTGAAACGAGTTCATTTTTTTCCATTGGCATGGAAAACTAAGAACCCCAGCTGTAGCTCCTCACACTTGGTCAGGTGACAGGGTGGCCCAGCCTTATGGTCACAGCAGGTGCGGGAAACCAAGCATCGGAACTAGGGACTAAGGGTGGACCCAGAGTCAGCAGTCAGAAACTAGAGCTGAAGGTCAAAGTGGAGGTGAGGAACTGAAACAAACAGTAACACAGGAGCAGTCACAGTGTTGGGCATGAGCACGGAGCAGGCAGCGAGGAGCTGCTGCTGCTGGATTAAGAGCCAGCCTACTGGCCTCTCCAGCCAATCAGGCAGTCTGCTGCAGGCTGGCTGTACTGATGAGGCTGCCTGGAGACTAGCTGTGTTGTGCCTGATTCCGGACACACATTCATATGTGGCCAAATGTGAGTGTTTTAGTTGAACAAAAATAGACAGAATAAAAGGGTAAATTGACAAATATTTATAGAAATGATCATACTTTTCAAACTACTTGGTTATGCATACTGTCATGTTCTGGGGTGCAGTTCAGAGCAGTCAGAAGTTGTGTCACTGCCTGCCCTGCAGCTTTGGGTGCCTCACAATGCTTTGCTGTTGTAGCTCCCAACCAGCCTATGAGCATGCAGGTCACACCCTGAGTTTCTGTCTGTGTGCTAGACAGCTCTGGTTCAGTGGCTCTGAACCAATCATCCTGTCTTCAGTCCCACTGCCCCACTCTGGCTTCTACCAGCCTTGGTTACTACTTGCAGGGTGACCCCAATACACTCCCAATCCTGGACTTCCCCAAAATTGCATGTTCTGCAATGTCCAGTCCTCTCCTGGACAGTTCAGAGAAATACAATAGCTCGTTTGTATTTCTAAAGACACAAGTATCAGGGGGTAGCCGTGTTAGTCTGTATCCACAAAAACAACAAGGAATCCAGTGGCACCTTAAAGACTAACAGATATATTTGGGCATAAGCTTTCATGGGTAAAAAACCCCTCACTTCTTCAGATGCAAGGAGCCATAACCCTCCCACTTTTTGAAAGTGGATGGGCCTGGCCCAGTCCACTTTTCACCAGGGCAGACCCTGCCCCCTTCCCCTCCTCTTCCGCCAAAGGCCCCACCCCCGGGCAGGTAGAGGGTTCGCTGCGGCTCCCCACAGCTTCCTGCCTGGCTCTTATCATGGCCGGGCTGCGGCTCTGAGGCCCCCCGGATGGAGCTGGGTTGGGGAGAGCTGCGTGGGCAGCTGTGGAGAGCCTGGGTCCCTCCACCTGCCCCAGGCAGGGGGCTGCCTTCACCTCCACCTTGGGTGGGGGCCCCTGGCCCTCCCCACTTTTGGGAGGGCTCCAGCATCTTGCCCTGGGCTGGGGCTAATGGGGGCCGGCCTACAGCCAGGGACTCCGGGCAGCTGGGGGCCATGCTGCCCGCCCACCCAGCATGCTGGGGGCTGTGATCAGCTAGAGACTTCAACACACTTGCCTGCCCGCCCATCCGCCGCTCCGGGCCACGCTGCCTGCCCATCTGGTGCTCCAGGGCTGGGGGAGGGGTCTCTGGGCTCCGGCAGGGGAAGAGGGGTGGGGCCCCAGGCAGAAGGGGCAGGCTGGTGGGAGCTAGCCTCCCCAAGCCCGTGGTTCACCCACTGCCCATGCCAGTAAGCCTTCGAAATGAATTATTCTGAAAATTAAAACCCAGACCACGCTTCTCTCTTCTGCTGGGTATACATGCCATGCTGTCTTCTCCCCCACTTGTTAATGTGAGGTTTACCTCCACCCCTTGTTAGCTTGATGAGTTTGTTTAATGCTTATATGTAAATTGAGGTAAACATTACTTTGTTTAGGATAGACCTGTTTAACAAGTCCCCCTGCCATACCTGGTTTACACACTCTTCAGGCATAATTCCAGCATATATTCATAACTCTTAATGCCCATCACATACATATATCACACATGAATATTAATGAGCAGTGAGTTATTAGTTTTCAAATGATACTTCACAAGGCATATTTTGTACAAAGACCACCACAATAATGTCTAGGGTGTGAATACAGAAGTGCCTAGCATCACCCATACTTCAGAAGCAATACACAGCACATACTGCACTGAGAAGAGAAGGACTGTCTTGTCGTTAAGGGATTGGAGTGGGGCTCAAGGATTTTGGTTCAATTCCTTGCTCTCCCATAGATACCCTGCGTGACCTTGGGCAAGTCATTTAATATCTCTGCCCTCGGATGTGGAGATTATGACAGGTATCAGACAGTGCTTTTCCCAATTAAGAATGGTGCCTTAAATGGTTGAGCAGCACATACAGTGCTGAGCTGAGCCCCTTCAACTCCTAGTAAGACAAAAGGGGCTCAGCACCCTGTATAAACTGGGCTTATGGAGTGATACGTTTGAATATTTCTTCTGCATGGCCTTAAGAGCTTGACACTAATTTAGTTTGATTTAAAGTGAAGCAGGAAAACCTGATTAGTGTGGCATGCTAAGACCTGACTTGTCCTGGGGAAACAGAGGCTGTTGATAGTCTGGTGTCACAGAAAGAAACTGGGTTCAACTAGGCAAATTTCTCAGAGACAGAAGGAATCTTGGAATCCAGAATCACATGTCTTATTCAAGCCTTTCCTTACAGAGGAGGTTTCTTTGTCATGGTATGGGAAATCTCACCCTATCCTAAACTTGATGTTTTCCCCCCTCCCACTGATCCATATATCCTGCATTCTCCCTTTCTTCCTGTGATTTTTTCAAATCACTTATACTCCCATAGTGTGCAGTAACTGAGTTAAAAAGAGTTTTCCCCATTCTCTTTATTATGGCTGCCTTTGGGATTATGTAGGATGGTTGTATTTTAGTGACAACATACAGACTAAAATGTGATTCTATTTTATGATGTTTAACCTGGGTCACATGTGCAATAGTTGAATACCTGATTAAGTACATCTACAAAATAAAAACAGAAGTAAAAATTGCTGAAGACTACAATTTGAATGCAGGGTTTTTTAATCTTAAACAATTGCAGTTAATTATAATTTTAAAAATGGATACTGATATTTTAAATCACTTTGAAAAGTAACCGAATCAAAAACCAAACACCCCGTTTAAATCACTCCAGAAAAAGGAAGTTCACATGTCCTACTTCCAGTAAAGTATAGGCCCCACTCATGTGAACACTTACACATATGAAGTTACACACATGAGTATACTGATTACAACAGAACAACTAAAACAAGTCAAGTTAAGTATATGTAGGACCCTAAAAAACACAGAACATTCAGCAGAACACACCCAAATCCTTTTTATATTGCTATTTTGATAGTGATGGGTGCATTAGAAATACTGAGGGTACATAGACCTGCATGTACATTATTGCACATTTCCTGGCATGTTCAGGACTTTTTGCATGGGTACAGATCGCTGTTTGAAAACTATAGCACAACTACAGTATTGCCATTTTTAAAATAAGCATATTTACCACATACTTAAAATATGCTCAATGTACAATGCTCAGGGAAAATGCATTGTATATGGAAAACAGAATCATTTGAAACTATAATTTGGTGTGATGGGATAGTCTATTAAAAGGAATGTTTATTTGAAAATGTAACGACATTATCTAATTGAAGGATTTCAATTTTTTCTCTTTTTCAAAATAATTACACTGGTCTACAATTTTTGAGAAGTCATCTGCTTCAGAGATAAAATGTGTTATA